GTGAGCGGCGTGGCCAGCTGACGCGGTGGATTGTCCGTGGACGGCTTGGGTCAGGGCAACGGCGATCGCCCCTGTGGTGAGAGCTGCGTGGACCTTCTGGCTGGCGCCAGGGGGTCCACCCTGTGCCCCTGCCACAGTCGCGGTCCTGGCCCCGGTAGCGCTCGCTGGTTCTGTCCCCGTCGTTGGTGTCTTGCTTGCGCCACGGGGCCCCCTTCTACGCCTTTGTTGCGGTCGCGGTCGCGGTCGCGGTCGCGATCTCCAGCACGGGCCCGGTCGCTGGTTTCTCTGGACGCGCGCCTCACCGCAATCTCGCACGATCCCCGTGGAACTGGATCCCGCGCACCGCCGCGCAAGCGCTCTAGCTCATGCGCAGGGAGGGGGTTGAGTGCGGGGCGCCTGTCTTCTGGGCCTTTGGATCTGGGCCGCGCGCGCAGTGCTCGGTCGTCGGCGGCGGCCGTCAAAAACACGGTCGGTTCCGTGGGTGCGCAGGCTGGCTGGGTCTGGTACGTACTGCTTGAATCGCGCTCGGGACTGCTGCGCGGCTCGTCACGATGGCTCAACTTGGCTTCGCCCTCCTCGTTTGCGTCGGGGTCTGAAGATGGGGAGACCGCATGGAACATGCTCAAGGCCTCCTCGAGCCTCTGCTTCCTCTTGTTCCTGGTCGTCTCTGGCCCAATCGGGGTCCTCCTCCTTAGGGTGCACAAGGGGTGCCGACTCGTAGGCGGGGTCTTGTGTGTCCGCACGCGGCGCGCAAGATTCAGGCTTGGAGTCGGGCCGAGCCCCTTCTGGGGACGTCGCGCTGGCGCCCCCGATGTCGGCGCCGAGCCAGGAGCTGGCGGGGGCCGCTGGCGCCTGCGCCCCGCGCGCCTCGTCGGAGGCCCTGCCCAGGAAGGCGGCTGCTTGGAGCGCCGCGTCGCCACAGAGGACGTTCACGCGTAGCGTCCTGGCACCGGCGCCCCAGGCTTCCAGCCACTCGTCGCCCATTTGGACGACATGGGTTCGCCCGTCCTGTTCGCGGGCCAAGACGTTCAGGACGGGTCCGAATACCGCTACGCTCAAGGGTCGCGTGGAAAGGGGCTCGGCGCTGTCCGCTGAACTGAACCACCTGGCACGGGGAAGGGCGTCGCTCCTGATGACCACGTAGTCGCCGCCCTGGACGCACGGGCTGTCCGTTGCGATCGGGCAGAAGGAACCCTGGATGGGTGCGTCTGGGACTCGCCCGCCCCGCCGTTCGAGGCGGCTGGGTCCCTCGCTCTCGGGGAGGGGATCAGGAGTAGCGCTGACGGCTGGTGGCGCCCCAACGGACTTGGCGGCCGTGGGTCGCGCGGCGGGAAGGGGCCGGGCCCGGCTCGTCGCCGCGCGGAGTGGGCGGGAGTGAGTCGCGGGGCGTCAGGCGCCTTTCCCTCGCGGGTCTTGGGCTGTCAGCCTGGTTGGAGGTGCGGTCGGGGCGCCCGCCCGCTCGGGGGGCGGCGTGCTGCTTGGGCTCGCTGCTGGACGCGTGCCTGGCGGTTGGCTGAGCTGAAGCGGTGGCGCCGGGGTCTGCGCGCCTGACCCCTCCGACGCGTGCCCCCCCGCCACCTTTGCCCCTGATCTGCGCCGCCACCTTTGCGCGCGTCTCCCCGGCCGCCAGCCGTCGCTCCCAGGCTAGGCACTGCTGCTTGTCCTTGGGAGGCGGCGGGAGTGAATTGTGGAAGCGCTCCTGGTAGGCGCGCGCTTCCTCGCCCCAGGCAGCGGCGCGCCGCTGCACTTCCATCTGGTCGGGGCGCATTGCGACCCCTGTCGAGGCGGCGGGGATGCCTGGCACCGCGGCTAGGGGCCTGGCTCCCGCGCTAGGGTATACGTCGGGGCCGCACCTGTCGAGCACGCGTTTCGCTGCTGACGGGGCCATGTCCCATTGGTGGATCAGGCATTCCTTGCAGCAACAGCCTGCGCGCCAGCGCTTGGTCAGGAACATCTCCTTCATTAGCTGCATGGGCGGGAGCCCGTGGACCAGGCTAAAGCCGGCGCGGAGACCTTCTGGGTCAGCGGCGTGTCCGCACATGCCAGGGAACGGCTGCCCTGGCCCCCATCTGCGCCCCCCTGTGCCCGGGGGGCAGCCGTCGAATCGCCAGATGCCGAAATCCTTCTTGTACAAGTGGAAGCTCAGGCGATCGTCGTTCGCGTTACTGGCTGGGAAGGTGGCCCCGACGTCGAGCGGATGCAGCTCGCCTTCCAGCGGGGCCAGCAGCTGCTCCAGGGGCGTGAAGGCCGTAGGCGCCGACGTAGGGCACAGTCCCGGCAGGGCGCGCGTTGTGCGCACAGGCATGTCGTAGGGGCGGTCGTTGATCCAGTCCTTGAAATCCACGTCGCCTGGAATGGGCCGGCGCTCTTCGATGGCCTTTGTGGTCCAGCAGCAGATGCACAGCCAGGTGGCCCCCTCCTTGGCAGTACTCCGTTAGCCCGTTGACCGCAATGGTTTGGCGGATCCGCTTGCTGACGCACGCCCCTCTGTCGCGCTTGAAGGGGCCGCGGAGACGCCCTTGCAAGTAGAATTCGTCCTTGTTCTGCTCCTTCGTCCACCTGGTGTCTCAGTCGTCTATCCACGGGGGCCTTAGCGTCACTCCAGGGCGTGGCCCGAGCGGGGCGGGCGCGTCCAGGTGCAGGCGCGTGAATGAGTACCCTCCGCCTATCCAGGCGGCGCTGCTCGCCTGCTTTGTTGGGTCGTCGGTGAGGCCGATGCCGGGCCCGAGCACGTCAACGTAGAACACAAATACGGCGCGCTCGTGGTTCGCCAGGGCCGACAGGTCGGCGGGAGACACGGCGCCGTCGATGACTGCGAGGGTGGCCTGGAGCGGGAACCTTCTAGCCTCGAGGCCCCTCCAGGTTGCGAGGCAATTCGCACGCCTGGCCAGGGGGTGATGGCGGGCAACCATGACGAGGCAGGACACAGAAGTGATCAGGAGCTCCAGCGCCGAGTGCACCTGCCTGAAGTGCCGTCCCTGTAGTCCGAACGGCGCACCTAGCTGGTCACGAGCAGTCTTGTCGCGCGGGCGGAACGGCTCGCACAAGCCGAGGATGGCCTCGATCACGTCGCCGATGCCCTCAGAGCCCCCGCACGGGCGCAGGCAGGTGCGCGGTTCGCGTTGTACGAGCAGGGACATGGCGAGCAGGATCCTGGCCTGGATGGCTCCCAGGGTCGCGCTGGTGCTGTCCAGGAGGCCGTTGAGGACTGTGGCCGGGCGTCCTTTCGAGTCCACGTCGCAGGAGGCCTGAAACATCGGCGGCGTGGGTGGCTCCTTGTGCTTTTGGCACTTGCAAGTGGGCTGCTGCCAGCATTTGGGTATGCGCCTGGTGGCGTTAGCTGGAATGCAAGCCTCCTTAACGTGACACGCTGCCCGCATGTTCGGTCAGTCCCTTCTGGGCGGGATCAGGTCGGGGTCGACTGCGCGGGCGTTGTCGTTACTCAAGACTCCGAGCCCTATAGCCCACATGATGGTCGCAAAGACCGCCGTGCACGCCAAGTTGCCGGCGTCCAGTCCTACCAGTATAGAGCAGACAAAGAGGCACCCGTTCATGCCCCATCCCTTCCCGCCATGCAGGCCGGGGGCCCGCAGGCTGATCCGCGACGCCGTGCTGGCGCGGATGTAGTCCGAGGCGCCATAGAATGCAGGGCCCGAATGCTGGGCAGCACAGTAGTCGCACCACTGCAGCGTCGACGTCGTCCTCCGCGCCCTTCCAGCCGCGGTCGGCCGGGAGCGGCGGGTCGGCGCGCGCCGAGAAGCCAGCCTGATGAGCCTGACGGGCCTTGATCACTTCCTTATCCTTTCGTCTGCGGTCGGCCCCCGCTAGCAGCAGGGCCTTCTCTTCCGGATTTGCAGCGTCGGGGACGTCGTCCTTGGAAACACTTGAATCAGCCCTGGACTGGCGCAGGGATCCGCCCGGGTTGTGGTGGAACTCGAGGGCGAGGCCCGCCTTCTGGGCCCAGGTGCTCATGTGGCGGAGTGCAGCGTCTGCGGCCGCGCGGAACATCCTTGCGCCAGCGGTCATGATGAGGTTGCATCGACGGCGCGTCGGCCCCACGTTGATGCGGCCCCGGTCGCCCACGCGGCCCCAATTGTGCAGAGTTGGCACGAGTGGTCATTAGGATGACAACGGACGCCTTTGTCCCTGGGCGGCGGCGATGGCGGTGGCACGGATCGTCTCGCTTTCCAGGATGTCTGAGAAGAGGTCTGCGAGTCCGCTGAAGCGTTCGCACAAGCCGTTTGCTGTCGTGGCGCGATTGATCCATGCCCCTCCCGCGAGCCCCTTGCTGGCCCGACAGGAGTTGGCGCTGCCCCGGCCCCGGTTGCGCTGCGGGCGGGGGGCGCCCACGTTCACCTCGGATCCGTCCGCTTGCGCCGCCCGCGAGCAGCGTCTGATGTCGCGCGCCGAGCAGGGGTTGCCTGCCAGCACGGGGGTCAGCTGAAGCTAATACGGCGACAGTACGAGAATGGTGCTGCTGGTCCTTCGCACCCATGGTTCGAGGGCCTCCACCAGGGCAACCACTGCGCGTACTTCGCGAATGTTGGCGTAGCCGTCCTGAATCGAGGACTGGACCTCTTGCGAGGGGACGTGTGCAAGTATGAAGCGATGATGGTCGTAGACGGTGCCACCGCTTCCCTTCGGGACCGCGCAAGCTGCCTTGCTCCTGGATCCGCCTACGGCATCGATCAGGGAGTCGTCGGGCCCGTAGTTGCCGTCCTCGTTCTTTGCTGCTTCGTATTCTTGGTCCGACAAAGGTAGTGCGAGCGGCCACTCCACTCCTTCGTCGCATGGTCGCTACCGCATGGGGCCCAGATGGATCCGATTGCACTCCCCCAGAGTGACGTTGCATTCGGGGGCGCCCCCTATGGCTGTCACGCACTTGGCGAGAATGGAAACTCCTAGACCCCAGCGCAGTGCCTGCTGGGATTTGACCGTCGGGCACAGCTGCCGCTCGTCGCCGCAGAGGACCGCTCTGGCCCCGCTCTGACAGCGTGGACCAGGGACACGATGGCCATGGGTTCGGACGTCTGTCCTGCTTCGACCAGGAGACATATGAGGAACTGCTTGTCCCAGAGGTCGGCCCCCGCCTCGTGCGCGGCCAAGGTGAGCTCTGCTTCAGTCGCGACTTCCGCTCGGAACTTGTGGAACCAGTTCGCACGCCCCGCGGTGACCTCGCCCTCCGATATGTTGTACATCTTGGCGTACTTGGCGACAGGGGATATTCTCGGCTACGCTGCCATTTACATTGTCCTCGTGCGCGAGGCGCACGGCCAGGCGAGGGAACAGGTCGCTGTTGGCCGGGTTCAGGCTCTTCCCGATTTGCTCTGCCAAATTGCCCGTGGATCCGGCAGCGCCGCCAAAGCGCCCTACGCCCCACCCCGGGGCGAGGCGCGACATGTAGGCGTCCGCCACGCAGGCCGCGACCTTGGTCTGCCCAGTTCCGGGCGGCCCGCGACATAGGGCAAGGGGGGATTTCTGGGTCGCAAGCGCGCAACGCCGCTGGGCGTTGCTGGCGCGGCGCAGGCAGCAGGTGCGCTCCAGGTGCTCCTCCTTTGGGGCCGGCAGCAGTCGTTGGAAGGCACTGCCTGGGGAGCCCTCCGCCTGCTGGGCCGTCAGCGCGGGCGCGGCCGCACGTTGGTTGGCGCTGGGCCGGTCGGGGTCGTCGATAGTGCGTTCCAGCGTCGCCGAGGCCTGCGCGAGCAGCAGATCTGCCGCTGCGCCTTGCGCCGGCGCGGCCAGGTCGGGGTCGTCGATAATGCTTTCCCGCGTCGCCGAGGCCTGCGCGAGCAGCAGATCTGCCGCTGCGCCTTGCGCCGGCACGGCCAGGGCTCTGGCCCCGTCGTCGCAGCCCCCACGCCGGAAAACGAGCGCCCAGACGACGGGCGGGAGGGCAGTGGCCCAAAGGGCCGCCCTATCGCATCCAGCTGAGAAGAATTCACGCATCGCTGCGTTGACCTTGTTGAATTAGGCCATGTATAGGGCGCGCTGAAACATAACAAAAACAGAAAACCCCCACCCCCCCACCCCCCCACCCCCACCACCCACCACCACCCCACACCACAACCCCCCCCCCGCACCCCCACCCCCACCCCACCCCACCCCCACCCCACCCTCACCCCCCACCCGAAAAAAGACGTTTGATCCACTTTCAGGTTCCCACTGCAAACGTTGAAATTTAAACATGTGGCTTGGTTATATACATGGCTGCTCATGATAGGAAGCTGGTAAACCCAAAGCTAGTGGTCCATGGCCTGCTGCTACGGCGACGCGCGGCCGCCCTACGTCGGCGCGCACTTCTGGCGCGCGTCGACTTCACAAACGCCGCATCCCCACATGGATGAGCCCATCCTCACATCTACCCGGCAAGCGTCGCAACGTTTTTTTCGCGCGGTGTGCCGAGTTTCTTCAGGCAGCGCTGCGCCGGTGGATCTTGCTTCTCCAGACCCAACCCACGACCGCACAGGATACAACAACTACAAAGCAACTCTTGGGACGCTGACAACGGTGCATTCGGTGCACCTCAAGAGACCTCGGCCCCAAGACCCACGTGCTTCTCGCCAGTTCTCACCGGGTAAAGTACGGAACCCTGCTGGACGGGAGGATTTGCCATTCCTGTGGGCAGTCGGGGTCAAATCACTGCAATGACTAGAAACGAGTAAAAGAATAAAACTGATTGCCGGTGGGCGCAAATGCGGGAGGACGAGATGCGACTCAATGTTCAAGACTGCTTGCAGTACTTGGAAGATGGCTCGACAGCACCCCTGTCCTCGGCCCGACAGCGAGACCCTGAGCTCCCACTGATATTCTGGACTCCGTTCACGTCGATCCCTCTGCGGCGCCGCACGGAAGCCTGCACTCTTCTACGCCCTGGCTCGCCAGAAGACATACATTGCCTCAGCTGGTCCGCCGCCTCCCGGACGCGGCTGGCCACTGCCCTGCGGCGCACGAACGGCGGATCCTCAGCGCAGCAACGCACAAGATGCGACGACCTGGCGGCGCATTTCATCCACCACCTGCAAAGCCTGCAAGTCCACCGCCTCGCCGCGAAAAAAAAAACACCCTCGGAGCCTTCCGCCGCGGGGGGGGGGACTAACGACAGGATGCTGGGACGCCGCTGCGGCGGCGGACGGCTAGTTAACCTCAACCACGGCGAGCTCGCACGATAAAAAAGCCAATAGCTCCACGTGCGCACCGCATGACACTGGGCAGCGCAGCGCCAGGGCCTTCCAAAGCCCCTGAGGAACGGAGCCGGCAGCCTCCACGCGCAGCTGCATGCCCCCGCGGTGCGCACAGCCAGGCTCGAAAATCACGGCCTCGGCCCGCAAAGCTCTCGACGCCCCAGCGGCCTGCAACCGAAGACCTTTCTCAGCCAGCTCGAGCTGCGCGGCCGGAGCTGTCACCATCTCGATATCCTGCGCAACCGCGGGCAGCGACACGCTGCAGCGCAGCCTTGTCGTGCCTGAACAAGGGATCTGCTTGAGCAAGGCTTTGAGGCATGGGGCCACAGCCAGCAGGCGGTCCGCCGTGTCCCACGCATGGTGTAACGTGGCCACCGCCAATTCCAAGGTCTTGTGATCCACTGCTCGAAGCCTCGCTGAGCCGCAAGATGGCTCTGTCGGCCGACTGCTTGACCCAGCCCCTGCCAGCCTCACGCTGCTGCGCTGTCCGGCATGTGCGCGTGACTCCCCCGCACTCCCGCAGCACCACTCCGCCCAGCTGCGCGCGCAGACCAAGGGGACCATGGCCCGCAATGGCTGGGCCAGGCTGCGGAGACACAAGACGTGACCCCTAGGGCAGTAAGTCTCCTCTGCGGCCATTCCCTGGGTCTCGCGCTCGCAATCGTGCTGCTCGCGTTCCCGCGGGTACGCGGGCGTCGGGTTCGGCCCGGTCGTTCTCCTTCTGCGCGAAGGCTTCGTCCAGCCCCGACGCGCACGTGGACGGTCCCATGGCCCCGGCCGACGATACCATCAGCCACCAGAATTCCAACCCGATCCGCTCCCACTCGACGTGGATTGTCAACCTCTCCTCGAGGGCTGTAAGCGAAGAATCAACCGCGCAGTCCTTCTGCCGTTACTTCAGCCTCTGGATCTGCGCAATGAGCGACGCGACAGATCCGTACTCCCCGTCGTCGATGGATTGCTTCACGCGGAGATTCAGCGCGGCAGAGTGCGTTGCCAGTACATCGTCCACGTCGGGCATCGCGACATCGGGCCTCGGAGACCAGGTACGCCTCTACTACACAGTGACCGCGCACCACGGTAGCTACATGTGTGGACTGCTGGCCACGGGCGCTTAAACCAAATTGTCTACGGAAAGGTGAGGAGGAGAAGGAGGAGGACCAGTGTAAACCCGCATCAACGATATTGCAATCAACCATCCCTCCAAGCTCCCTCGTCATACCCCCCAAGAAAAAAGCTGCATGGCGGGAAGTGTCCCACTTTTTAAAACAAAAAAAAAAAGCATGATAATCCTCAAACCTGTCAAAACATGGCATAGGACTTCAACACCGCAAATCAACATGATTGTTTCGTCCTGACAATCCCAAAACGACCAAGAACACCATTCCTGGGACGTCAACACCGCGAATCAGCAAAACTTCAGCGTCCTGACAGTCGTAAACTGTGCCGGAACACCATTCCTGGGACTTCAACCATACGAATCCTTGAAACGGCTGCAAACTTTTAACACCAATGCGAGCGGCGCTGAGGCGAAAGCCATATTCTGAGAAGGAGCCACACCCTCCATCATTGAAACTGCTGCCAAAAAATGCGAAAACTAATGTGGACGGCTGTTAATCGAGAGCCACAGGTTGGCGAAGAACATGTTTGAAAATGTTGAAGAATCTATCTAGCAAGTGTGCGCTAAGGCGAGAGCCACATTTTGAAAAGGGGCCGCCTTCCATCCCGGAACCTGCTGTAATGAGAAACGAATGCACGCGGCGATGAAGCGAAAGCCACAGTATGAAAACCACCCGCCCTCCATCCTCGAAACTATTCCAAATTTCAAGTTCCAGGATCAGAATCGATGAGGAAAACAGAAGCGAAACGACCAGCCCGCCCTGCCGACACGTGCGTGGGTGCGACAGGGAAGAGTTTCGTATTCGGAAAAGGGATGGAGGTCGAAGAGGGAGGGGGCAGGAGAAAGGCGACACCCATGTGAGCGGAAAACCGCCTCGCTTGAGCTGTCTCGAAGGCGCTTCACGGTGCACCCACCGCTGAAGCCGAAGCCAAAGCTGATGCAGCTAAAAAACAAGAAAAGAGCCCACCCTGCAACTTTGGTTGACAGCACATCGTTGAGCGGTTCTGCAGGCGTCGCCAGCCGGCCACGAACGCTTGAGCCAACGTATCTACGGAGAGGTGGGGAGGAAGAGGAGGAGGAGGAAGAGGGGCTGGAAATGTCTGCGGAGAGAACACGGGGACCCAGCCTAACAGGAGGGTTGAGAACATTTGGAAACGACTGCCCAAGAGGGCTCCAAGCTCCTGCAACTGCTCTCTCTCTCTCTCTCTCTCCCACTGTGGGAAATCGGCCCTGAGACGCATTCGGGCCAGAATTTCGTGGGGAATTCAGCCGTGACGACGGGAAACTCTCGAAATGGGCGGAAGCCCTCATAAGAATCTCGACCCTTGGAGGGGGGAGAGGGGATGCGTCAGGAAAGGCGCGTCGGGGGCAGGGGAGGCGCGGGCCTCTCGATCTCGGGCGAGGGCCCGCTGGCCCGCACGACGGCGAGCTTCTTGTTGGGAGGACTCAACGACGCCTGCGTGAGGGCGCCGGAAGGAGAGTCGCACGCCACTTCTTGGACGGGGACAGTGACGACGAGGCGAAGGATGACGGGCACGAGCGAGACGAAGGAGGCAGAAGGACGCCACCTGCACACACCAATACAGATCCTCGCCGGGCCCTTCCTGAGCCCAGGATTGGTGCTTCCGCGCTTCTGGCCAAGCAAGGAGGGCGTTTACACCGATCTTGGTCCCAGGCTCGGCCCGACCAGCATCGGTGTGAGTGTATGATCAGGGTCCCCCCCAAGAGGCAAGAGGATCGAGAATCTAGTATTTAAGCGCCTTGAGCCCATTTTAATTATCCAGACGCCTCTAGAGACCTTTGAGGACCTCCCAACGCCTCCAGGAACCCTCCGGATGACAAAAAAGGGTAGCGAGGCGCAGGACAAGGAGGAGGAGGAAAAGCCCGTCCTCTGGCTTTTTTCCCCCAAAAGTAAGCCACGAACTATCGAAGACATACCCCTCCTCATCTTCAACTCCTCTTCATGACCATCATCACCATCACCAGCACCGCCCTCAGCATCATCATCATCATCATCATCATCATCATCATCATCATCATCATCATCAGCAGCAGCAGCATCATCACCACCACCACCACCACCATCATCGCCATCAGCAGCAGCAGCAAAATCAGCATCCGCATCATCATCATCATCATCATCATCATCATCATCATCATCATCATCAGCATCATCATCATCATCATCATCATCATCATCATCAGCATCATCATCATCATCATTATCATCATCATCATCAGCATCATCATCATCATCATCATAATCATCATCATCATCATCATCATCATCAGCATCATCATCATCTTTATCATCATCATCATCATCATCATCATCATCATCCTCATCCTCATCCTCATCCTCATCATCATCATCATCATCATCATCATCATCATCATCATCATCATCATCATCATCATCTTCATCATCATCATCATCATCATCATCCGCATCCACATCCACATCAACATCCACACCCTCATCGTCCTCATCGTCATCATCAGCATCATC